CTTCTCGAGACTCTACCGCCGTCCTTATCAGTTAGGTTGTGCTAAAGCTGATTCCTCTGTCCAAGGTTTTAAGGCTCCTCGCTCACTATTGTTTGGTTGTTTTCCAGGTGATTTCTCCACAATTTAATTCTAATTCCAGATTGGTTCTGGGAGGAGATCAGTGTAACTTCCACTCACTCCTCCGTCATCTTGAATAGATGTCACTTTTCTTTGCTAGTATGTTGCCTTAGAAGTGATTTGTTTGTTTCATCTTATAAATGTTTCTGAACTTTGCAGCCAGTCTATAAGCTCCATAAAGGGAAGAATTGATTATGAATTTTATGCGCTTGACTTTCCTTCAACCATGCCTCCTGTTGGTACACAGTGCTTTCTCAGAAAAAAAAAAATGGATAACTCATTAAAATAATTGTTAAGTATTTAGGAATTTTGTTCGCAGTCTATGAAACTTTTGGTAGTTTGAAATCTATGCTGAGATTATTTATACCATGGAAACTGGCAAAGGGGACACATTGAGGCCCTCCTCCATCCACTCCCAGCCATAGGGTGCCAGTTTACTAGGCAGTACTGTTCACAACCTTTCCTTTGGTCCACAGGCAACTAACCTTATGTCTCCTTTGCAGATTAGCTAATGACCATGGCCTAAGTGTCTGTGCCAGGGGTAAAGGTGCAACTGAGGTCACTGTGTCCGTCTGTATGTCTTTGCTGCCCTGACACTCTGAGCAGAGGATGACAGTTTATCTTTACTGTAGGAAACCAAATGAAAGGACACTGTCAGGGAGAACGTGATTGGGAACTCCAGAGTAAGCACCACCAGAACTCTGCCTCTTTCTCTGATCCTTCTTGTTACTCCCTCTATCCATCCTTGACTGGACCAGCAAATGGCCAAGCTATGTTTATTTGGATCGCAGAGACAGGAACAGGATGCTTAGGGTTGCAGATAAAAGAATTCCTGACTAAAGGTGGCATAAACCACAAGGATCTTTATTGTTTACTTCACAAAAAGTGTGGAAATAAGAGACCCCAGTTAGTTTACTGTCTTATCAATGGACTGAATGATTCTCTTTTGTTTTATTTCCTGTCAGCCTCGGTGTGTGAGTAAAAATTCCCCTCTGGCTGCAAGAAGGTGTTATGTCTGAGCAGTCAGACAATAACATAACATCCCAGCCCCCAAGAATTTCCTAGGCTTGTGATAGCCCTTTTTTCTTTTTCCTGAAGTAATAACATTCTTTTACCTTAAATAAAGGATTTAAAGGATAAGAGGGAAATGGCACATCTTATGGAATATTAACCATAACTTTATGGTAAAAAATAATTTTGAGGTATTCATTTCCAATTACCAGGTAACTCCAGCAATTTTATGTGATGAGAAGTTAATTAAGGAAGTCATCAACCCAAGACCATCACAGTAGTTATAGTAAGAACTAAAGGAAAAACATTGCAAGAAGAGTATGCAAAAGCTTTTATTATTATATCCGAGGCAGTAAAATGCTATTTAAGTGGAATTGAAGACCCAAATGGCTGCAATTATGGAATATTGCAAAATTTTTCACATTAAGAGAAAATAACAATATTTTTACGTTTATGGGTGGCAAGAGGCAGACTATCTGAAATTGTGGGAATTTATGAGTTCCTCTATTTTAGGGACTTGTTCTTCCTTGTTTCCTGTTGCTAACACAGTACATACCATATCAACGTCAGTGTTGAATAAGAAGAAAAAGCAAGAGAAGATGCAGATATAGCACTGCGGTGCCTCGTGCAGATTGGCCATCGCAGAAGGAGCCCAGGGTCAGTTATTGGGAGTGAGGTAGAGAGGCTTCAAATGGAGGTGAGGGTTTGCTACTATTTCCCTCATTTGCTGCAAGGAGAACAGAACTGGCTCCAGAATCTGGTGAAATGACCGTGAAGGCGTGAGGAGTGCAGGACTGGATCACTGCACCCACCTTTCCTGTAGGGCTAGTGTTCGGGCTCAGTCTCTGTGACACCAAATATTACCTCTCCTTCCATACTTTTGGTTGGAACTAAGTAATGAAACAATGAAAGTTGATTCACTGATTTCAGACATTTATATTTACTAGCTTGATTAGCTGTTTTATAACCCTTTTGGGGAAAGGTGGGCAGTCAACATAAATGGAAGGCCATACCATTTAGGCAAATTATACCATCAGCTTAAAATGCATTGGGAAGGCATTCCATGCCAAAGTGGTATGGAAAATACTGTCACACAGAACTTAGGGTATGAAGAAAATCTTGTAATCTTTTAAGATTTTTTATTTTTTAAAACAGTAATGTATGAGTACATATGGCACAAAACTTTTTTTGGAAATCTGTCTTCAGTACATCAGAAATGAAAATCTCCTGTAGGCATTGAATATCAAAACCCATTTTCATATTTAAAAACTACCAGTCTTCTTTAGAACAAAATAGATTTTGTCTTTTTCTAAAGGAGAAATTCTTATAGGCTCCAGATACAAAGTAAAGAGGAAGAAAAGAGAATATAAATGTAGTAGTTTAATAAATACATTATTACAGCATCACAACTCTATTTATCTTAAGTGAAATGTACAAATCTAGTAAAAATTGGAAGCACCAGAAAGGATAGTAGTTTTCCCATTAAATGCATATGTTTAAGTTAGTACTCTGACTTCTTTAAAAAAATTATGAATAATGTATTTATTGAGTTCTTTCCTTTCTGGGGCAGCAAAGAACATGTGAGAGGCCAAGTCTGCAGAATTTTATAAACCTTGTTGCAGGTTTAAGATTGTGCTGTTTTGTATTCCATGAATTTGTTATTGAGTTTCATGGATCTGACACTCAAAGGAAATGTGTCTTAAATATTACCTCTGACTGAATAAAACATTGACTTTTTTTTTAAAGGCAATATGTGAGAAAATGAAATAGTACCTAGGACAATAAGAAAAACTCAAGGACAGTAATAAGTAATAATGAACTAGATGGTAATCTCTGGGTTCAGGTTTCTTGCTTAGTAATTAATTCCCACCCTGTCTTCTTTCTTTTCCTGTCTTTCCCCTGCTTCTCCTCTTTATCCTCCTTTTTTTCCTCCTTTTCTTCTTTAATGAAATCCTATATAACAAGTGCTTTAAATATTATAGCGACTAAAACAATAGCTTTTGAATAATGAGTGGACACATAAATCTTTTTGTTCCTCCCTGAATCTGCCTCACCATGCCGGATATATGAATAATAAGCATTTGTTGAATGATGTTTTCAAATTAGAATTTTTTCTCAAAAGGGCTCAGTTTTATAACTTTCAAGCTTGTACTAAACAATAAACTATGAAAATGTTGAGTAAAAGTTTTGATTGACCCACTTTAATAAATAAAGAGGAGTCATTTAAAATTAACGTGATGGTATGCAAGTAAATACTGGAAAAGGGATTGGAATTAATTTCTTTACCCAAGTAGATGGTTTGCCTCTTACAGTTTAATATATAATTTTTTAATGTATGGTTTTATATATTTTATTTACCTCCTAATATCTAACCATTTTTACCACTTTCACAATTTTTAGACATACTTGCTTATTACCTGTACAGTTATTACTCAGGATTTAACTTAAATTGATTCACTTTGCAATCCAAATTTACTTATTTGTTTATATGTATTTATTTATTATTAATTTTCAGATGGGGGGGTTGGGGGGATAGAGAGAGGGGGGCGGGAGAGAGAGATGTATCAATTTGTTGTTCCACTTAGTTATGCATTCAGTGGTTGATTCTTGGATGTGCCTTGACTGGGGATTGAATCTGAAACCTTGGCGTATCAGGAGGGTGCTCTAACCAATTGAGCTGCCTGGCTAGGGCCCCACAATCTAAATGTATTTAAACAGAAAATTTCATATTAGTACTGTGACTAGAAACCCAGTGTCCTGTGCTGAAAACAGAAGGGAACTATAAAAATAAATAAAATATGATGAAAATGACATCATTACATTTTGGCCAGCTTTTGTTGCCTGGAGAGAGACTGAGCCTGAGATAGATATTCTTAAAAGGAGAGTTTGTCCAATGTTAGCGAAGTGTTAGGCACACGGACACTGAACTGAGCTGTTGTCTCTGACCATGTTTTAAGAGTTGAAAAAGAATTTAAAAAACAATAACTTTTCTCTACCCTGAATAAAATATAAACTTCATAAAGGAAAAAGAAACTGGATTGCTCATAGTTCCAAATTAGTGGAGCTTTAATTTGTGAAATTTTAGTGCTGCATAATTTTTGTGAGAAAGTGGAAACATTCTCTTTATTTTTGATTTTATTTAAAACATTTGATTAAGCACATATAAAATTAAGAGCATAATTAAGAGTGAAGCTTTCATTTTCATTTCATGATTTTATTTCCTTCTTAATGGGTTATATAAGCAATGTTTAAGTTTTCTATGGAAGTACCGTATGCTAAGCCAGGTTATACTTTCTGTATCATTAATGCTTCATAAGGAATGCTGTTCTAGGAATTAAGTTATAATATATGTATGAGTAAAATTTGATTAACACTTCAGTGTCCTATGGAACTAAATCACAGAGATTAGGTCTAAATGATTAAGATTCCAAATTAATGTAGTCATAGATGATGAGTTAGAGAAATGTTAGTGTTAGTTTTAGAAGTTTTGAAATACTTTATTCTTTAGCGACTGCTTTGGACTGGTTACCTCAATATTTATCATGGTCATTTTAGGTCTCATCTAAAACACAGTTTGACTTACCCTCTTGATTAAAAGAACTGATTTCTTAACAAAGTAAAGTAATAGTCTATCAATTTAGTTAACCCCCCATGGTCAGTCACTTTAATCAAAATTGAATGATTTTGTGCAGAGATTGGACACTTGCAAGTTCTGCATCATTGGTTTACCCTGTTATTTTAGGAAAAGCTTTGTGACTCCAACTAAGCCTGGCAAATTTAAATAAGAAAAAAGACAAATGAAAGATACAATTTAGAGCTTTTTCCTGGCTGCACCGGAAAGAGGCAGTCCTCTTTCTGTTCCTACTGCAGCCATGGCTCATGGTGCCAAGGAGCATCTGAAGCACGTAGCAGCTCCTAAGCATTGGATGATGGATAAAATGACTGATATGTTTACTCCTCAGCCATCTACCGGTCCTTACAAACTGAGAGAATGTCTCCCTCTCATCATTTTCTTAAGGAACAGACTTAAGTATGCCCTAACAGGAGATGAAGTAAAGAAGATCTGCATGCAGCGGTTCTTTAAGATTGATGGCAAGGTCCGAACTGATATAACCTACCCTGCTGGCTTTATGGATGTGGTCAGCATTGACAAGACCGTAGAGAATTTCCATCTGATCTCTGACACCAAGGGTCGCTTTGTTGTTCATTGTATTGCACCTGAGGAAGCCAAGTACAAGCTGTGCAAAGTGAGGAAGATCTTCGTGGGCACAAAAGGAATCCCTCACCTGGTGAGCCATGATGCCTGCACCATCCGTGCTACCCTGATCTCCTCATCAAGGTCAGCGACACCATTGAGATTGGTTTGGAGACATGCAAAATTACTGATTTAAAGTTTGACACTGGTAACCTGTGTATGGTGACCAGAGGTGCTAACCTCGGAAGAATTGGTGTGATAACCAACAGAGAGAGACATCCTGGTTCTTTTGATGTAGTTCATGTGAAAGATGCCAATGGCAACGGCTTTGCCACCTGGCTCTCCAACATTTTTGTTATTGGCGAAGGTAATGAACCATGGATTTCTGTTCCCTGTGGAAAGGGTATCTGCCTCACCATTGCTGAAGAGAGAGACAAAAGACTGGTGGCTGAACAAAGGAGTGGGTGAAATGAATTCTATATGATGTGCTTGGAAAAGTGTTTGTAATTAATTAAAGGTAACACAACATGATTAATTAAAGATAATACAACATGAAAAAAAAAGAAAGATATGATTTAGAAGTTCCAGATACAGAGGTGACATGTGTTATGTAATGCTTTCTATGAGAGTTTCATAAATGAATTATCCCACTAATGTAGGTAGAAATATATTTGAAAGGCTCTTTTAGTTTTTTGGATAAGCAGTGATACTCTATGCTACAAAGAAGGCAAACTGCAATTATTCAATATATGGACAATATTATCATGATCAATGACTGATGCTTTATAACAGCCGGACTTAGAATTTTTAATATTTTTATACTACTAATTGATTTTAAGTTAACAAATTCAGATTAAATCAAGCAGAAATTCTGTAAGATGATAACAAAGCTTAAGTCAAGGTTTTATATTTAATAGTTAATCTGAACAAACACTAAGAGATTAAATTTCAACATAAAACGCAAACATTTTTAAATAATTTAGAAAACAGCACATACTTTTTACAAATACATTCTAGACAACTTAGTACCCAGGTCTTGAGGTGTGAGGGAGAATTTTAATAGTACTGTATTTATAAGCATGAATTTGCTTTAAAATACAGACATTTGAACATATGGTCTGTTCATCTTCTTTTTTCATGTCTTTATGGCCAAATGATTTTAAGGTTTTTCTAGAGGGCAGCTCATTATTTGAATCAGTTGGATGCAAAGTAGACCAAGATGAGGGTTACAGTTATAATTCTTTTTACCTACCGTGTTAATGTTAAAAGGTTATATTCAATCCTACCTAGATATTTGAACCTCCATGAGGAATTCCAGGCAGAAACAATTTACACTTTATATTATACAATCAAATACATCTTTAAAACCTCTTCCTGGAATATAAAAATGGAGAGGACTGGTAGAGACTGTACCTCTTAGTTTGGCTTTCTTTACTTTCTTATGTTTCTTTGCTTTATTGTTTTTATAATTTAGTTCAAATCCAAAGAAACAATTAATCCTGACAAGCAGTGTGGGTGATCCTCAAACACTAAGTGCCAATTATAGATTTAAAAGAATTGGTGAAGTGACTCCTTGAGGTATAAGTACATGTTTTATGGCAACATGGAAGCCTGGCAATGCTCTGAATTTTGTTAAATCTCCTGAAACTATTGGAAATTAAGGACTTTAACAGTAGCCTTGGTACAATGCATTCTATATTTGGGCATCTTTGACATCTAAGTCCTGTACTCGTATTGAAGTTGCTTAAGTAGTAACTATGTTATTTATGTTAAGGAGATACTTAATAACACAGTTTAAGACGGGGTTTCATTTGGGGTCTTTATAAAAACCACGAAAAAGCTTCTCCTTACTATGATTTTAAGAAGATTATCTTGGCCTTGAACTTTCTAAGAATGCAAAAAGTTATTCTTCTTTATTAAGATGTTAATTCTTACCATATTACCCTATGGTTGTCTGAAAAAATTCACTAGTGATAAAACATTGCTAGAAGCCAAAAGTTAATAGTAAAATTAATGAAAAAAGTTATTAATATAAAATAAAGCAAAGTGATGGGAAGAATCAAGGATTCTCCCCTAAAGGATAAAATGTTTTCTTATGGGAGGGTTAATATTTTTTAAGCAATAGAGCATAAAATGGTATTGGAAACATTTATATTTTTACTACCACATTGAGATAAAACCTCTTCTGCAGTCATGAGTGGTCAATGGCGTCTCTATTTTTAAAAAGATGTGAGTGGTAATTAAACAAAAATGGCAACCTACTCTCATAGGTGAAAACAACTGCTATAGCTACCACACAAACCCACAATTTACATTAACTTCATATACAAATAGTTCTGAGATAATTTATTAGAAAATAATGGTTCTGAAAGGAAGGGGATGGAGTTTGTAGTTCCCCACCTTTGGTAGAGAGAGGAGTTGGAATTGTTTTTCTCTGAAATAAAATCTTAGGAAGGTGGGATCTACCTATACCAATGAGCCCAGTGTCTACTTTACTCTGACTGGCTGACAGGCTGGCTGAATACATGAATACATGAATACTACTTAGAGAAAAGGAAAAAACTGACACTAGTCAAGCATCTCCAAAGTGAGAAAGCTGAATCCAGAGCTCCTTAGGAGGCAAAAAATAAAGCTTGTTGTATTTGTCAGGTTACTCCAGAGAAACAGAATAGGGTGGGTATCTATCTATCTATCTATCTATCTATCTATCTATCTATCTATCTATCATCTATCTATCTCTGTCTATCATCTAAAGAGTTTTATTATGAAGAATTCATTCACACAATATATTATAGAGAATTGGCTATAGAAGCTGACTAGTACCAAGATCTGTAGTCTGAAGGCCTGAGAAGCATGAGAGTTGAAGTTATAAGTCAGTCTGGGTCTGAAGGCAGAAGACGAGTATTCCAACTCCAGGTTGTCAGGAGAGAGTGAATTCTCCTTTGCTCAATGATTTGTTCTATTCAGGCCTTCTGGACACTGGATGAGACCTGCCCACATCAGGGAGGGCAATCTGCTTTACTCAGGCTATCAATTCAAATATTAATCTAATTCAGAAACACCTTAGCAGAAGGTGCCAGAATAATGTTTAACTAAATATCTGGGCACCCTGTAACCCAGTCAAATTGACACATAAAATAACCACCACAGTAATGCTTTAACATTTATTTAAAACTCTCATAAAGACTGTTAGCACCCATAAATTGTTGGAACTCTGTGCAAGGAGGGGAACGGGAGATGAGTTGCGGGGGCAGGAATGATACGCATAAAAGCAGCTTCATATGGGGCACTGTGGCATCGCTCCATGATTGCAGTGTGCCTGTCCTCAGGGATGGGATGCTCTAGAGGTAACAGCGGCCCTGATATGGGTCATGTATACAGAGACCGATACCAGGCAGCGCAAAAAAGCTGAATGATGGTGGGCAAGGGACCTTAGAAAAATAGGAAAGTGGTTCAAAAATTACTAGATTGAACATTGAAATTTTGCCTGGCTTACGGTGTCCCTACATAGAAGACAGAGTAATTGTCACTAACACTGTCAAAAACTTGCCTTTCCCAGGTCAACAATGAGCTGAATCGACTAGATTTTTCATCAGGCAAAGGACAGTTCTTCATTCATTTATTTGGGAAATAACTCTTAAGTACTTTCTATGAGGCTGGTACTGGTTTCAGGAGGAGGATGCAGCAGTAAATACAGCAGTGTTACTACCTGGAAGGGTTACATGCCAATGGAGAGGACGGCCAATAAACAGATAAAGAGACAAATAAGTGTATAAATTTCAAACATTGTCAAGTGTTATGAAGAAAAGAAAGAATAAACAGAGGGACAGGAAGATGGGGTAGGAAGTATTTTACACAGACTGATTAGACAAGGCCTCTTTGTAGCAGTGATATTGGAGAAGATATTCAAATGATGTAAGGGGTCCATCTATGTGAAGATATTAGGAGAGAGAATTCCAGGAAACTGCCTGTGTAAATGACCCAAGAGAGATGGAATTTTGTGTGTTTGTGTACTCAAGAAGGCAGAGGTAGCTGGAATAGAATCAGCAGAAGATGAAGTCCATGCAGTAAGTTAAAGTCAGGTCATGTGGAACCCTGTGGACCATGTAAACAGTTAAATTCTATCAAGAATAAATGGATGCATATTACAGTTTTCATCAGGAGAATGATGCAATCTAATCATGATCCTGTATGTATTTATTGAACACCTTTTACACATACTGCAATATGGGGCATACAGACTTAGCATAAGCTATTGCCCCAATCTTAGTGAGTTTGTACTTTTAGATTTTTAAAAATTTTTTATTTTTATTTTTCATTGAATTTATTGTGGTGACAATGGTTAATAAAATTATATAAATTACAAGTGTACAATTCCATGATACATCTATATTTTGTACTGTGTGTTTACTACCCCAAGTCAAGTCCTCTTCCATCACCATTTGTGTCCCCTTTACCTTCTTCTACCTCCCTCCACTTCATTTTCACTCTGGTAATCACCATAACGTTGCCTGTGTCTATGAGTTTTTTTTGCTTGGTCCCTTCACCTTTTTCATCCAGCCCCACACCCCCTACCACCTTCCCCTCTGACAGCTGTTGGTTTCTGTTCTGTCTGTCTATGAGTCTGTGTCTATTTTGTTTGTTAGTTTATTTGGTTCATTAGATTCCACATATAAATTAACCTTAAACCTGTCAGAATGGCTATCATCAATACATCCACAAACAACAGGTGTTGGTGAGGCTGTGGAGAAAAGGGAATCCTTGTGCACTGTTGGTGGGAATGCAGGCTGGTGCAACCACTGTGGAAAACAGTATAGAGTGACCTCAAAAAATTAAAATAGAACTGCCTTTGGAACCAGCAATTCCACTTCTGTGAATTTATGATAAAATACATGAAATACAAGTTCAAAAAATATATGCACCTCTATGTTTGCTGCAGCATTATTTATAATAGCCAAGATTTGGAAGCAGCCTAAGTGTCCATCAGTAGGTGAATGGACAAAATAGCTGTGTTACATTTATGCAATGGGATACTACTTGACCATAAAAAAGAAGGAAATCTCACCCTTTGTGACAGCACAGATAGAATTGGAGAGCATTATGCTAGGTAAAACAAACCAGTCAGAGAAAGAGAAGAACCATAATCCATGTTTTTAAAAGTTCAATTTGATTATTTAATGGAGAAGAGATCATAGGAAGGCAAGAGTGGAAGTAGGAAGACTACTTCTGAGGCTAGTACAGCTGTCTAGACGAGAGATGATGTAGTTTGGACTAAGGTGATAGATTTGGAAGTGTGATGAATGTTGGATTTGTGATATTTTGAAGGTAAAGCCCACAGAATTTGCTAATGGTCTGGATCAGGGTTGAAGAAAAGAGCTATTAAAATCATTTGACAATCAAAATTATAAACAGAAAAACATTGAACAGTGGTGCCAGTAACTGAGATGTGGTGATTGGGGGAGATTCAA